ACCCTGGGTCCCTGCCCTCCCTCAACCTATGCTGGCCTCCTGACTCAAGATAGCTGATCCCTGGCTCCTGTCTGTTCTCTCACTCCTGTGCTCACCTGTTTCTCCTCTGTCCTTGTGTCTGCTCATTTGATTCTGCTATTGTTCTCCCACGCTTTGGGACTCCTTTTGAAATGTCATCAAAAGCAGATTGCTTTGTCCAGTCACAACCTATCCTGAACTCTATCCCCATAAGTCCAACTGTGTATACCAGCCGAGGTCTCAGAGGCCCCTCAAATGAACTGTCTTCCAAAGATGCACAGTTCAATTCCACCAGATGCTCCACTGGAGAAGGAGGGGCAATCTCCTCCTGTGCCAGTCGGATCCGATTTGATGATATACACACACAAACAAAAAGGGCGGGGGGGGGGGGGGGAGAAAGAAAAGTCTTTAAAAAAAAAAACAAACCTGTCTTCCCCACTTCTTGCCTTTACCCCACTGTTCTTCTTGATCCTGCTGCCCAAGTCCAAACCTAAGCTCTCTTAAGCCCTTGCCCCCAGCACCATCTCTTTCCTGTGCATTGACAGTTGTCAAGTGGGATGGGGCCTCCCCACCAGCCTAGCAGGAATGTAAGCAAGGCCTGGAGCCATGCCACACCCCAGCGCTGCCTCTCAGCCAAGAGTATAGGAAAAGGTGGGCCTAACACATTACCCTCCATCATGATTACCAGCCTCATGATCATGCTCCCACGATACTCACCCGTAGTGATTTGATTAAGCAGGAAACGAAGCTTAGAATCAGGTGTCAGGACCAGAAAGGGTGTCTCCAGGCTTGTCAGTAAAATTACCTGGTTGACAGGGAGCTGGCCCAGGTTCATCAAGCAGACTTGCAACAGCAGGGTGCAGTGCAGCTTGTGGGAAACCAGCAAGCAGGTTCTGGACGAAATCAGTTCAAACTCTGACTCATGGCTGTCCTTCCAGTAAAGGAAGAGATCTTACACCCAAGGAATTGCTTGTGAATTCAAACCACCAGAGAGGTGCCCCCTGTGCTCCCCCAGACTACCCACCGGACCTCCCTTGGCCTAAATGGACTCAATAGAAGTCCCTGGCCATTCTCCCTTCTGTGGCCTCCTTAGATTTGCTCCTTTGGGCAACTCCTACCACCTATCTTGGGGCTTCTCTCTTTCCCCAAGTCTCCTGTTGATTCCAAGCTGTGATGGTCAATGTGAACATGATCCTTAGTACAACATAAACCTGTATGTTGTCAATCCTAACCTCTATAATGTTAACGAGGCAAGGTTAAAAGAGCAGTTATGGAATGATACAAATTAGCCTGACTTGATGAGGGGAAAGTCTTTTCAGGGGAGCTCTGGTGGCCTAGTAGCAAGAAGCTGCACTGCAATCACAAAAGCACACGGTTCGAGGCCACCAGCTGCTCCTCGGGAGAAGGCTGGGCAGTCTCCTCCCACGTGATTAAATAACTCCAAAAACCCGCCCAGAAGGTCAGCTTTGGGTTAGTTCCAACTCTACAGTAAACAATGTTAGATAGACAGACAGGCAGGCTGCTAAGGAGCCCTGGTGTGTGTTGCAATTCAGGCTACTAACCAGAGAGTTGGTAGTTTGGATCCACCAGCCACTCACTCCACAGGAGGAGAACAACAATCTCCTCCTGTCAAGATTTACAGCCTTCAAGACCTGATAGAGGATCCCTGTGGGTCAGAATCAACTTGAGAGCAGTGAATTTGGTCTGGCAAAGCTACAGAGCTTTTGGTCCAGACCAGCTGGTGAGTGCTGCACTCATAGTAAGCCTACAACAATCTTGTCCTATCCTGTGCCATCCTCACCATCTCTGACATACTTGAATCTATTACTGAAGTCATTCTGTCAATACATCTCGTTAGAGGTCTTCTCCTTCAGCACTGACCCTCCATTTATCCAAGCATGATGTCCCTCTCCAAGGAATAGCCTCCCCTAGCTACCTGTCCAATCTATCAAAGATGAAGCTTCACCATCTTTGCCTCCAAGGAGCACTCTGGCTGCACCTTCTCAAAGATGTATCTGTTCAATACTATCCTCCAATACCATAACTCAATGGCATCAATTCTTCTGTCATCCTTATTCTTTGTCCAGCTCTCTGATGCCTAACAAGTGTTTGAGAAGACCATGGCCTGAACCAGGCAGATATCATTGCTCTTCAGGATTTTGGAGAGGTCCCCGACAGTGGACTTGCCCAATGCAGCACATTTCCTGATTTCCGAATTGCTGGTACCAAGGGGCTTTATTGTTGATCCAAGCAAGATGAATCACTGACAATCCTTTCTCCATCTATTATAATGGATTGTTGGTTCTGTAGTGAGGACATTTGTTTTCTTGATGTTGAGATCTAATCCATACCAAAGGCTGTAGTCCATCATCTGCAGCAAGCAATTTTTATCCTCTTCATTTTCAGTAAGCAAATTATGTCAAATGCTTAAGACAGATTGATGAGTCTTCCTCCAATCCTGATACATTCTTCATAAAGTCTGGCTTCATGAATTGTTTGCTCAGCATAGACTGAATAGGTATGGAGAAAGGATACAACCCTAAAGCAAACCCTTCCTGATCTTAAATCATGCAGGAATGCAGCATTCCCTTGCTCCATTGAGACAAGAGCTTCTTGGTTAGGTATAGATCCTATATAAGCATTATATATATACACACACAGAGAGATAGACAGGCTCAGATAGATTTATATAGTTATGCACACTAATATAAATGTGTGTGTACTCTCACACACACAATTGTGTGCCGTCAAGTCAGAACCATCCCATAGCTGCCCCTCGAGTGAGTTTTTAGCAGCAGTTAATGGTACTGGAGGGGATTGCCCATCTTTCTTCCGTAGAGCAGCAAGTGGATTCAAACCACGTCTTTGGGATTCCAGTACTACTTCCTCCCACTAGGCCACCAGAGCTGTTTTTGTGTGTGTGTGTCTGTCTGTCCATCCTGATATGTATGTACATATGAGCTTCACTGGTTTTACTTTTCTAGAGAACCCTATCCTGATGGAAGATTGGTAAATGTCCATTCTACTGTCACAACTTGCAAGAACATACATGGGAATTAAGAAAAAGGAAGAGAGATGGGGGGGATTGGATGGATAAATGAACATTATTGCTGGCAGAAGATAAAAAGAAGCAGGTGGGGTAGGGACAGGGGCTGCTGCAGTCACTGGCCTGGGAAGGTGCCAGTTAGAGGTGAAAAAACAGCATGGTGAGTGCCCAGGAGTGAGAGAACAGCCAGTGAACCCAGGAAAGGGGAGAGAAACTAGGGAAGGGGGAGAAAGTGCTCTTGGAAATGGGAGAGGGGCAACAGTTTTGCACAGTGGCACAAGCAATATTCAAGTGTGCAATGAAAATGCGATTTTCAAAAATTTATCTCAAAATTATACTGTTTTCCTCCCACATCCTTGCCCGCTGGGTAATGAGGGGAAAGGAAGACAAAATACCAACCAGTTTCAGTTTTAAAGTTTACATGGTGCAATCAATGGGATAAATCATCTCCAAAGGTTTAACTCCATCTCTTCGGGGATAAGTGCTCAAGTTTGTTTTTCCTACCACCTGTGGGAATCTGGTTAGAAGCAGCCAGGAGCTCAGCAGCACTGTGACAGTGGGCCCTGGCTCTGCTAGTAGTTGCTCAACCTGGCTCCCTCCAACCCCCCTGGCCACACCTCCAATCCTCCATGGCTGAGGTGGACAGTCAGCTCAGGCTCTTCTAGGCTCCTGTCAGACTTGCTGGAATCACAAAGAGCAAGGGAGGCCTGCACTCCAGTGAGGCTGCCTCCTTGACCTCATCTGCAACCACAGCTACCTTGGGCCTCCCCCCTTGCCTCAGGGACACCCTCCCAAAGTCCCTCAGATCTGCTTTTCCTTTTTCACCTTCTTCCTCTGTGGAGTCTTTCTCAAGCTCCTCTGAGGGGCCCTTATCTTTAGGAACCTTCTCCACCAACCCAGAACTTTACATACATTTCTTAGTCCAGTAACCTAGCCTGTAATGAGTTCAATTAATGCTTCGCATTTGTGGTTCTGTTTACTCAGAAGCCCTGGGTTCAGTTCCTGGCCAGTGCACATGAGCAGCCACCAGTAGTCTATCAGCGGTGGCCTACAGTTGCTAAGATGCTGAAAAGGTTTCAGCAGAGCTACAGTAACCTAGTGGCAAGAATCTGTGCTACCAAGGGTCACTAATAATTGGTGACTAGAATGCAAAAGTTAGGAATAAGGAAGGACCAGTAGCCAGAAAATATGGTCTAGGTGACAGAAATGAGGCTTGGGGATCAAAGAACTTTGCACAATAATTTCTTCATTCTCCTGGAAAATACTCCATGTGCACTTGAGAAACTTTGTATATTCCGCTTTTGTTGGGTAGAGTTCTTAATAGATGTCTGCTGCTTTTGGGAAAGATGTAGGCAAAAATCAGTTCATTTTTCTGTTGATGCAAAGGTTGTTACCTCCAGTTCTAGCACACATGCCTACCAATAGGTGGTGGTGAAATCAACTACAATTTTCAGTGACCCTACAGAGCTGAATTCCACGCTATCCTCTGACATTCAGTCACCCCTTGTTGGATCTTTTCCTAGCATGATGTCTTTTTCCCAAGGACTGGCCTCTGAAGAACACCTTGGCTGTACCTCCTCTGAAAGACCTGTGCTATGAACCAATGAATACCTTAGCCCAGGACCTCTGAGAGTGGCAGGAACCTTGGTAAGCCCTGGCTGAGGGGTCAGCTGGTTCCCAACTTCAGCTTTTTCCTAAAGAAGCTAGAATTCAGACTTTAAATCTCAAATCCTCCCCACCCTAGGTGATTGCCGTTAATTTGTAAAAACCACAAACGCTATTCAGGTCCATTTGCACCCACAGCCCTCTACTGGGAACACTCAACTTCAGCCAGCAAAGCAAGCCTCAGCAGTCAAGGGCTCTTCACAGGCCCACAGGTCTGCTCCAGGCTCAGGAACCAGTACTCAGGGGTTCTCTCCTGTGGTTGCTTCTGTAGGAAGGCGAAGCCCTGGGTGCCACGGAGAAGCTGTGCCGGCAGCTGACCTATCATCTCAGCCCACACTCACAGTGGAGGCGCCATCGTGGACTGAGCAAGAGGAAGCCGCAGGCCTGGTGAGTATACACCACATATAGCCCCTGCCCCCACCCCCCTGCTATAAACCAAGCTATGGGGGAGGGAGCAAAGTCCTAACCTGAAAGGACTCAGGAACTCAGTGGGGAGGCAGGAAGGGCTTGGGGTTGGCCACTGCAGTGGACATAAGCAGATCAGTGGCTGTGAGGGTTGCAAGGCTGGGCTGGGGGGCCTGGACATGAGCAGGGCATAGCTTGCTGTTCTGCTGGGCTAAAAGGGCCCACCACCAGTCCTCCTACCACTCTAGCCAAGCAGCAGTCAGGACCATGATGGGCTTTGTAGCCCCAGGAGGCAGGCACATGGGACACAAAATCTGTGGACAGGGGTTCCTGAAAGGGAGGCTTCCTGGAGAACCAAGGACCCCTGCCTTTCTTTGTAAAGGACTTTAGAAGCAATTTAGCTGCCATCTCAAGGGCTTTCTCTCACCACTGCACTTCTGTTTTGTGAAGACAGTCTCAGGACCTTTGTTAAGTAGCTGACCCGTGATTTTTCCCTTTCAGCCTCAAGGCTGTCCTGGGTGGGAGCCCTCCAGACAACACAGTGGACCTCTCTGGCATCCCCCTCACTTTCCGTGACCTGGAGAGGGTGACCAGCTACCTGCACCGCTGTGGAGAGGAGGTAGACATTGTGGAGCTGGGCTTTACAGGGCTCACAGATGACATGGTGTTGCAGCTGCTGCCAGCACTCAGCACACTGCCCCGCCTCACCACCCTGGCACTCAATGGCAACTGGCTGACTCGAGCTGTGCTGCGTGACCTCACTGATGCCCTCAAGGACCCCACCAAGTTCCCCAATGTCACGTGGATAGATCTGGGCAACAACGTGGACATATTCTCACTGCCTCAGCCATTCTTGCTCAGCCTGCGCAAGCGAGCCCCTAAACAAGGCCATCTCCCCACCATCCTTGAACTGGGCGAGGGAGCCAACAGTGGAGAGACCCGGGATGAGACACAAGTGGATCCTGAAAGGGGGCCCTCCAGCTCCCAGTGATGACCAGGGTAAGACTAGGAACCCTCTAACTACAATGCAGAAATGAAAGAGCAGCCCTGCCTCAGGAGTGTGCTCGTGGGGAGGTGTGAGGTTCTATCAACAGATTACAATCCCAAACTACCATGAGTAGTCCCAACCAAAACCGTAACATTAAGTTATAAAGGTATCGCAGCTTGGTTATAACAGTCCTTTATAAAACTACACATCTGGGGGAGCCCACCTCTTAGGAGGTTCCAGTAATTTGAACAGCTGTGAACACTAAGGCATTGGGGGTATGTAGTGTCAGTCTGTTGGGGACTAAAGATAGGGCGAGAAAACAAAGATCTGCCACAATAAATTTCCAGAAGCTATGCAAAAAGGCAGAGCCTGGAATTTTGCCTTAAGAATCTTGTCCTCCAAAGCCCACGGGGAGAGCTTAGATTGTTTTACCACAGCTTATGTATAAATACTGGCAGTAGTCAACATTTTCTTCACAAATATACCATACACTTGAGGACAAACTGCATTTACAGCTCAACCTGCCAATTGGCTGTTTGAACATGAACACCTCGAGCACTTCCTGAACCAGTTGTTAGACCAGATCCTCTGGTATGGAGTTCATAGTGGTACCAATTAAGATTTCAAACTCTTCCATGGCTGCAGTCTTCCAGACAGGCTGCAAAGAAAAACAATTCATCAATCTCATCTCCCATACCAACCAACAGTTTATGAGTCCCAAGATATCGTCAGAAAACCGTCAATTCACCACTGAGCCATCTGCCGGTAATTCCAGCTGTATTTTGGGTGATCTCATCATATGATATCTTTCTCCACACACAAACACTTGCTCCAGCCATTCCATCACAGGTGTTGGTTTCCGGGGCTTACCTCTCAAGCTGGGTTGGGTCCAGTTCTGCACCGGGTTTAAGCTCTATCACATAAGTTGTCACAACCTGAAGAAATGGAAGATCCCTACACAAGGTACAAAACCAGAAGTTTCTAAGGGTCCTGAAGCACTTATAGCTGCTTTTCAACTAATAACAAATGCTAATTAACTGCCAAGTGAGTTTTCAATCCCAGTAATCCATTGCATTGACAGAAATAGAAAGTTATTATAAGTAAAATTATTCTGAAACGAAAGAGTATAGCCAAATTTGCTTAGCAAAAACACCTTCTGGTGATCCTCGCCACTTCTGCTGGACACCCCAAACCCTAGTATCTCAGGGATATTCTGCAAGGGATTAAGGATAATCATATTAGTGTGACTACCAGTATCTTCCTTACCCAGCTACATCAAGTTAAAACAGCTAGTGTACACTTCTCTACCTCTCAGAAGAATGCTTACCTCACAGTAAGCAATATTCCTCACCAACACTCAGCTGCTGGCAGCCACTCAGCTCCAAATCTGGATCAAGTTAAGATCATAAGACTTGGGTAAGGGGATGATGGCAAGTGACTGGTACATGTGCTTCCGTCTGCATTATTAACCAACCCAGCAGTCAAGCACCTCATTTAACACTTGGTAATCCTTTGCTGAAACTGAGGACCTGAAGCACCTGCTGCAGAGGGTCAAGGACTGCAGCCTCCAATATGGATTGAGGCTCAATGTCAAGACCACAAAGATTCTCACCACTGGGCCAACTGGCAGCATCAGGATGGATGGGGAAGAGATTGAGATTGTTCACAGCTTTAGTTTGCTTGGCTACTACGGTTAACACTCTTGGCGAAACTTATACTTGGACCAGGAGGCAGTCGTCAGAACAGAGCAAGGGAACACTGAATGGTTCAAAATTGGGAAGGGCGTACGCCAGGGATGCATCCTATCTCCATAACTCTTCAACCTATATGCAGAACAGACTATCCGGGAGGCGGGGCTCTATGAGGAGAAATGTGGGGTCAAGATTGGTGGACAATTTATCAACAATCTGCGTTATGCAGATGACACAACCCTGCTTGCTGAAACTGAAAAGGACCTGAAGCGCCTGCTGCAGAGTGTCAAGGACTGCAGCCTACAATATGGATTGAGGCTCAATGTCAAGAAGACAAAGATTCTCACCACTGGATCAGTTGGCAGCATCAGGATGGATGGTGAAGAGATTGAGATTGTACACAGCTTTAGTTTGCTTGGCTCCATAGTCAACAGTCTTGGCACCAGTAGCCAGGAAATTAAAAGACTGTATTGCGATGGGAAAGTCTGGCTGTTAGGGACCTCTCCAAAGTACTGAAGAGCAACAGTGTCTCTCTGGAGACTAAGGTGCATCTGATACAGGCCATGGTCTTTGCTATCACTTGTTAAGTATCAGAGAGTTGGACAATGACTAATGAGGATAGAAGGAGAATTGATGCCTTTTAGCTGTGGTGCTGGAGAAGAGTATTGAGGGTACCATGGACTGCTAGGAAAACAAACAGATTCATCCTGGAAAGGGTTAAACCGGGTGGCTCCTTGGAGGCAAGGATTCGGAGGCTCCATCTAACATACTTTGGACATGCTGTGAGGAGAGAAAGGTCCTTGGAGAAGGACATCATGCTTGGGAGGGTGGAGGGACAGCGCAGGAGAGGAAGGCCCTCTATGAGGTGGATTGATTCAGTGACTGGGGTGATCGGGATGGAGTGCGACGGGCACAGGCCAGAGTTTAGGTCGCTATGAGTCACAAGCAACTCGACGGCACATAACAACAATCCCCAGAAATTAAGTTAAACAGTATTTTCAAAACTGGGGGAAAGGATGTTTTCATAGTTGCAGCTTAAATCCAAATTTACAACTGGTTGCAACAGAAGATGCATTATTTGGGTGCCCTCCCTGTGCAATTATCTGACTTTAGTGCTCGATATGAACTGTCTTGTCGATTACTTTAGTGAACTTAACAAGATATATAAGTCCAGAAGCGATCCAGTCTTCGTAGTATACTACTACAGTACCACTTACCTCATGGTGGGGCATCACTTCCGTTCCCCAGCGGTCTAAGGTGTGCAATCTTGAAGGTAAAGATAAAGAGCACGTGTAAGGAACTCTGGCACTCATGCACAATTCCAGCCTCCCAGGTCTAACGACTGAGTCAGGTAGGTATAATCATCGTCAGTTTTCGTTCTGACGGCACTTCCTATTTACCAGTATCATCATGACAGTCATCCCAACTTGAACCCAATGAATCCAAAACAAGCCCGACTCCAACTTACTCTGTTTGCTCGAGCTTTCCTCCTCGCCATGGCCCTCACGGAGAACGGCGTCGCGGCTGTTTGGGGAGCCCACAACGTGGCAACCGCGCTGCTTAACGAAGAAACCCTATGAACTATGGCGGCCACCACCAGTGCAGACCCTGAGCCTCTCATGACAGTGCCTGCGCCTCGGAGACAGACCTGCCCCCCTCCTCCCTGCAAGAACGCCTCCAAAAACACCGTCCCAAAAGGCAGAGAAGCGCTCGGGCCTCGCTAATGCCCTTGCTAGCAGTTGCCAATTACAAATAAGAAGGAAACAAACCTAGAGCCCGAGAGCGGAAAGAAAGTGGTAGGGGCTACCTGGGTCTCTTAAGGAGTTGGAATGTTCCACCTAGTACATGTGGAGGGGGGTGACATTGGCAGAGACTCATGGGAAAGTCCTGCCTAGCTGAAGACGCACCGCACAAAGACCCCCATCTCTGCAGCCTGTGGTTTCGTCCATGCGCCGGGAATTCTGGGCCCGTTGGTGGGGGCGGGGCGGGACGCATGCGCACCCTCTAGAACGCGATCTTTACTGTGTTTCCGTGAGATTTACCGGGTTTTAATCCAACGGTTTTTTTTACAAGAGCTGTGTGAGCGTGAACAGATAGCATTAGTGAGCTCAGATTGCCCATCTGCATGTAAAATGCAGATAATCGGCAGCAGAGAAGACTGTTCTGGAGGATCGCTTAAAACTGATCTTGACACTTGGTAAACATTTATAAACACGCCTTTCAACCAGCACACCTGCAAGGGCTTCCCAGTCGACTCGCCTCACAACCGCTTTCGAATAGCCACTAGTTTTTCACACCCCTGTGCACTGACAACCTTCATCAACACTCTTTAGAGCAAGTGGACGTCAGGTAGGGGCATCCCCATCATCTCCTCCCACTGTCCCCTACTCCCCTCAGGGATCTTTCCCTCTACCTAACCTGCAGTAGAAATTTCCCGCTTATACTTTTATTTCCCCATGCTTCAGTCACTTCCTACTTAAAAAATATTAATTCATGCACTCACATTTTATACATGTTACGCCGAGGGAGAGCAGTTCATTTTGCCTAGGAGGGGAAAAAAGCTGGAAAAGCAGCAGTAAGAGCAATTTTTAAGCTCTTTTCTGAAAGAAATACAGTATTTTAAAGGAAAGATAAAGTGTACTTTAGTTATTTAGCGTTTCTCTAACAGAAACACCAATAATGTTAAGTGGATGCCTAGGAAACTGAAATTTACCTTTTTAGGAGACTAGACGTTTCAATTCAGCCCTAAGGAGAATCCTTGTCTTGTGTATCAGGAGTTTAAATTCTGAAGTACTTGGTTTGTGGAAGGCTGAGGTATATAGTGGAACTACATTTATTCAGGCCTATTTGAATTCTGTGACCAGTAAACCAGCCAGTGTGGCTTTGCCCACAAAAATGTGCCATTAAAAGGGATTACAGAGCCGCAGTTTCCTGTTGTTAGGTGCTATCAAGTCCTCTGTGTCTTGTAGATAGATGGACAACAACTCTGAAGCTTGCCCTGTCCTGAGCTAGTCTGACTGGATCCACCTATACCCGCATTGTCCCAGTTATTATTGTCAATCCATTTCATCTGGGGTCTTCCTCTCCTGCACTGTCCCTCCACCCTCCTGAGCATGATGTCCTTCTCCAAGGACTGGTCCCTCCTGGCTGCATGCCCAAAGTATGAGACAAAGCTTCAAAATCCTAACCTCCAGGGAGAAACTTGGTTTCACCCTGTCCAAGCCCTATTTGTTTTCTTGGCGGTATATTCAAGATTTACTCCAGCACCACAACTCAAAGGCATCAATTGTGTCATCCTTCTGTCATTGTTCAGTTCTCTGATGGATAGCAAGTAATTGCAAAGACCTTGGCTTGGATCAAGTGCACCTTAGTCTCTAGACTGACATTACTCCATCTCAGTACCCTAGAGAGGTCCCTGACAGCAGATTTATCTAATGTGATTCACATTTTAATTTCCTGATTGCTGTGGCCAAGTGTGTTGACTGTGAAGCCAAGCAAGCTGTAATGGTTAACAATCTACATTAAGCAGATGTCACAACCCTGCTTGCTGAAACAGGAGGACCTGAAGTGCTTGCTGCAGAAGGTCAAGGACTGTAGTCTTCAATATGGATTGAAACTCAACATCAGGAAGACAAAAGATTCTCACCACTGGGCCAACTGGCAGCACCATGATGGATGGAGAAGAGATTGAGGTTGTTAACAATTAAGTTTGCTCAGCTCCACAGTTGCCTGTTGTTGTTATGTGCCGTTGAGTCACTTGCAACTCATAGCGACCCTATGTACAAAAGCCCTAAACCCTGCTCTATCCTGTGCCAACCTCACTGTCTCTGACACACCTACTCCTAATCATTGAATCGATCCATCTCATCACCAGTAAGGAGCAATTTGCTCAGATTCAAACCTGGGCATCAGCCTGGACATCCCCTTAATGATTTCTAGGGTCATAGCTTGGGGTCATCTCCAGGTCGTCGAATGACAGGAACTCTAGGACTTTTAAAATCTGAAATTGTGTACATGTTCCCATCATGATATTTGATCTAGTCCTACCTGCAACAGTGATAAACTGCAACTGCCACCAGTGTAAGAGTGACAGTGTAACAGTCACTCATGTAGTCATGACTTTGTCTCCACATTTTCTAAATGAAAGCCTTATCACTTAAAAAAAAATCAAGAATTCATGAAATACTGCACAACATAATCTAGAGCAAATTGTGCTGAGTGACATTAATCAGTCACAGTCCAAAGAACAATTGATATGAGACTGTTAACAGGGAAAACATGGGTCTGCCACAAGCAAAAAACATCTTGGCGGTGGTTAAAGTGCTCGCACACAGTTGGCCTCCAAGATGCCAAGTTGGTGAGCTGTTTAGTTCTCATAGGATTTGCACTGTAGGTTTTCCTCTATCAAGACATCTGCCCTCTAGAGGCTGAGGCGTTGGGGGAAGGAGCACTCACAAGGCACCTGAAAGCTCTTAGCAAAGCTAAAGGTTGTTAACAGTGAAAGGAGTTCCTATGGCCTAGTCCCCAGGGAGTTGTGCAAAGAACCTCTGGCAGTTTGAATGCACTAACAGTGAAACAGACAAGAAAATCAACATTTCTTTGACATTTTCAAAGGGTGAAGTGTCCTTTTAGTACAGGACAGTAGAAGGAGCATATCCTTTTAGGCTGAAGGCCTTATTCTCTTAGTCTGTTGTGGTTCGGTGTCATGGAGTCTACCACTCAGCCACCCATGAACAACATTGCTGAACCTTGCCCTGTCCTGCCCCATGCTCATGGTCTCCCATGTGCTCGCACCCATTGTTGTGTCATTCTAGCTAGAGATCTTTCTCTGACTTTCCCTAGCATGAAAGATTGGCCCCCTCCTGACAGCATGCCTCAAAGTATGTGTGACAAAGATTCACCATCATTGCCACTAAGGAGCACCTTGGTTAGAAGACTGAATTTCTCCCCCTTTTTGATCCAGCTTTACTCCTACCTTATCTAGTGTTTTTTTAAATTCCCATAGAGCTCCATCTGACATACTTTGGGCATGTTGCAAGGAGGGACCAGTCCTTGGAGAGGGACATATCATGTTTGGGAGGGTAGAGGGACAACGCAAGAGAGGAAGACCCTCGATGGGATGGATTGACTCTGACTGGAGTAATGGGGGTGGGTGTGTTGAAGACGATGAGGTTGACACAGGATAGAGCAGGGTTCAGAGTTGTATATAAGGTTGCTGTGAGTCTCAGGAGACATGACAGAACTTAACAACAACAATAACGTATTTGGAATTGTTACTATCTGGAGAACAAATTTTCCAAGCAGAATTAAGAGGTATGGCTGGTCACCTGGACAGATGTTACTTGAGTTGTATGACCATCTTGGGTGCAGTGTCTTTACTGCTGGAACTGTTGTGATAACATCCTCTTAAAACGAGCCTAGGCCATTTAGCAAACTACTTTCAGCACCATGTTCTCATTTCCCCTCATTCTAGAATGATACACATTTGTCTTATTTCTGTTTATGTCTTAATAAAAGAGTCTATATAGAATATATTTGAATCTGGGATGGTTTTTACCCTAGAACATTAGTGAGTTTCTGTTGCTGTGAAATGTCCATGTGGTTTGGTATCCTCTGTTTCTCAAGTGCTTGTTATCCTATATCTCAAAAGAAAGAGGTAGCTTAATTCATAATATAACAGGCTGCTAACTGAAAGGTCAATAGTTGCAATCTGATAGCCAATCTATGGAGAAATATAGGCAGTCTTTTTCCTATCAAGATTTACAGCGTATGATAGCTCCTTTAGAGTCACTGTGTGAGAACACTGACTCAACTACTGGGGTATATCTGAACAGAGGGTATAACCCTCTCTTAATCCTGTTTCATTAACATAACTCCTCAATGAGATAATCACAGATCTAGGAGAAGCTCTGCTGGGGTAGTCTATAGGGAATTGCACTGTTAACCTAAAGGCTGCAACTTTCTGGTGCTTCAAATCCACAAGTTGCTCCACAGGAGGAAGATGGGCATGAACTACGGTCCTCCTGTGTGACCTCAGAAACCTGGTGGAGGGTCAGCTATGAGTTGGAACTGATGCAATGGCACTGAGTTGAGAATTGTTTTAGGGCAACACAATCCATAACTGAATCTTCCAGCCAGAGCAAGATCAGGAGGCCAAACACATGTACATTAACTATCAGGAACAACGTGGAAGGCAGGAGGGGCCACAGGATGGGGGAAGGTGTCAGAAATGCCTAGTAAAACCTTCGTGGCTTGGGGATGTTGGCCAGCACATTGTGCACGCATGAAGGAGCCTCGAGCCTTTGGAGCATGGGAGGACAGCTTGCTCTTATGTCCCAACAGCCCTTGTGGCAGCCCTGATAGATAGAGGTGGGAATTGAAGAGGAAGCCCAGTGGGAAGAAAAAGCAGTAATCCAAGCCTGACCTCAGCAGAGGGGCACAAAAGGACTGGAAGTTTAAGGGACATTCTGGAGGCAGCTTGGTAGGAGTGGTAAGAGGGGATGACTGTACTCGCCCATGTCTACACCATATATCCACCACGGCAAGCACAGCACCTTGGCCAGCTGTCAGCACACAGAAAGAGGACAGCTCAAGACTAGGGTGGCAGGAAAGGGTCTCTTGGGATTTGAGGGCAGAAGTGTCCTGTGTACTCTGCAACACAAAAATGTTGACAGACAAGGGCCTGGTAACTTTACTAAAATGATGTTTACTAAAATGGGTTTATCAATGAAAAAATATTTATGTTTTCCACCACAATGGACTAGGGCCCCAGAGTCCTGCTGGCCCTTGTGATTTGAGCATCTGTAAACTAGTACCCCAGTTGCTGGAGTGGCAGATGGTGTTTCTCTAAGGCTTGATCATCTTCCAGTGGTGAGGCCGGGGCTGGATTCTTCCTGGTGCCTGCCAATAAGATAAGATACTTGGCCCCTGGGATGTATCCCTAGGAGGCCTGCACTGGAGAAATGAGAGACCACAGCAGGTGTTGTATTGGTTTCCAGGCATCCATCCTAGGTGTCCTTCCACAATGGTGAAACCATTCAGATAGAATGGTTGACCCCCTTTGACCCCGGGATTCCCAGCAATCTTTCCTCTCACCTTCCAGAGCATTTACTGAACCTCTGCTCTGTGCCAGGCATTGTGCCAGGCACAGCAAGTCCAACAGGGCCTCCCCAGGAGCTAGAAGTCCATGGATGTGAAAGGTGGGGTGTTAAAAGACAAAATGCCAGAGCATCTAACCCTGATGTCCCTCCTGCTATCCTGAAAATGCAGGAAAATTTTGAGCAGGCCTCTGAGAGGTGAGAAGGGGGCAGGTGAGGGACAGAGGCAGTCACATGGGATGGGAGGGCAGAGGTGCTCTGTAGTGGGGAAAAAAGAAAAGGGCCCTCGTGGAGGATTGTGGGAAATGGCTGCCCATGCTAAAGCAAGAGAAGGCTGCTCCTACCACATTCCCTGCTGGCTGCCAATGCTCAACCCAGGCCAGCTGAGGCACCAGCTCCAAAATGAGTTGAGTGCAGCAGACTGGAAAGAAGAGGTGAGTGGTGGGGCAGAGTGGAGGGTGGACTTGGAAGAACTAATAGCCATGCAAGTAGGGAGAGAAGGGCAGGAAGGATGCAAAGAGTGGAGCTGCAAAGTGGTCGTAGAGCACGTTTTGTGGATTAGGGATGCAGGAGGCTATGGACAAAGCAGGGACACTCCCTCCCATAGCCTCCCTTGTCCAGCACAGGATCCTGGCCCCCATGCTCACTCACCCAGGATCTGGGCACCTGCCGGCTCCTCACACAGTGTGGGCAGTGTCTGCTCCCATGCAGCCCAGTTCACTTCTTCCACTCTGAGTGCACACAGTGGCTCTGAGTCTCCAGAAACCAGGGCTCTGCCCTGCACTGTCCTAGCAAAGGGACCCGGCCCCTGAGGGGGTAGGCTGTGCAGAGGCTGGGACTCTCCTGCCTTGCCCTGCATTACACTGGGCCACCTCCCTCTTATCTGGAGCCCCTGATGCCTCCTTCACTCACCTGAAGCACCAGCGCTCATCAGGGCTGCCATCTGGCCGGGTGCCCACCTTCAGCTTGGCTCCCACCCGCTGCTTCTTCTGCCGGCACCACCAGTACCCACTCTCCATTTCTAGGACAGCGATGGCTTTCTGGGAACAGAGGAGGCATCAGATAGAGAGGCCTGGAGCCCAGCTTGGCAGAGGTGGGTGCACAAGGCAAGGGGGGCTGAAGGCGAGTCACAGCACTGTAAACCTGGATGAACGGTGTGCTGCTGGGCACTAACTCTATCTGAATGGTTTCACCATTGTGGAAGGACACCTAGGATGGATGCCTGGAAACCAATACAGAACAAGTGCTCAGTGAATACTTGTTACTGCTGTTACACTGTCACAGCTTCTCAAATCCCAGAACATCTCAGCAAATCTTCATTTGCCCAGTCCCATACGTGTACTTGCATGCTCACTCACAGTGAGATTAGGAGGCTCAGGAGGAAGGCAGCTTGCCCAAGGTAGCACAGCCAGAACCATAGAAAGGCTTTCCCTGCACCGAATGGCCAGGCCCACCCTGAACCTAAGCATGGTAGGTGGGTGTCATATCAGTCCCTTTTCTCATATCGGGCTTCACTGCCTAACTCCTACCAAACCAGCCCCATCTCACGTCCACAAGAGTGCCAAACCTAAGTTCCTGAGCTCAGGGCTGCCTCTTGTCTTCAGCCCCTTGAACTGTGCTGGGTGTTCCAGTAGGAAGGACTCTCCAACTAGGTGACACACTAACCACCTACTGCATGCTTGGCATTTTCCAAAGCACTTTGCATCTGTGAGTGTATTCAGTCTCTACAACAGGAGTGAATGAATAGGAGACCAGGGCTCAGCACACATTCGACCGGGCCCTGGTTGGGGGAGGGTGATCCCTGGTGGCACCTGCAGCTTCCAGATGCTCCAGCTGTCAGTGGCAACGCTGTTGACTGTCTCGCTCATGAGGGCGATGAGCATGTTGAGCAGCAGGATGTAGGTGAGCAGCACGTAGGCCAGCAGCAGCAGCAGCACCACCCCCCGGAAGCGCAGTTTCTCCTGGAAGGCCAGCTCGCCCATGCCAATGGTGAACTTGAAGAGTTCCAAGGAGGCATCCACAATGCCCCCATATAGAGCCACATCACCCTCATCCTCTGGTCCCACCTCAGGACGAGCTGTATCTGTGGCATTGTCTGTGGGGGCCTTGGGGCTCTGGGTCTCCCTGCTCAGGCTCACCAGAGCTGCAGGGGAAGAAAAGCAGTGACCTTAACCTAGACGGGGGTCCTCAGGGTGGGCAAGGGACAGGTGGGTCCACAGGGAGCCTTACCTACAGCAAAGCCAAAAAGGAAGACGAAGTAGACCAGAAGAAAGCGGAGTAGGTCCCTCAGGATGACCTGGAACAAGTGCCCAAGGCCGGGTGGATAGCTGGACCCATGCACACCCCTACCCCCACTACATACCCATATCATGTTCCAAGAAAGCAGTTCACATCATTTTGCTTTAAACCTTTCTGAAACAAACCTGAGCCAGTGTCAAGTTTACATGGGAAGCCCATGTATGCCAGAGTAGAACTCTGCTAGTTTTCAGAGGCTGACCTTATCTAACACAAATCCTCCAGTCTTATTACCGATGTGCCTGCTAGTGGATTCAAACTTCTAACATTTTGGTTAGCAGCTAAATGCTTAACCATTTATACCACCTAATATCCTCCAGGGATCTCCAAACCTCCCCATGCCCAACAATGCCCCCAGCCCCTGCCATCCTCAACTTTCCCCTGCCCTCTGCCCTCACTCTTCTCCAGCCGCTCAGCTTCTCTGTCACCAAGCACACCAAGCTCCCTTGGCATGAAGCACTTGGCCTTGGCTCTGGAACGGCTGAATTGGTCTTGCAGGTCACAACTTACAAATCACCTCTTCAACAAGGCACTCCAAGAAGAAGAAGACCATCATGATAGTGTGCCCCCGCCCCAGCCTCAGCTATTATGCCATCTCACTCACCTCTATATTTTCTTTACAGATTTAGCAATCTGATTTGTGTTGTTCACTGCTAGATCCTCAACACTTAGAGAGTGCTGGCACAGATAGTACTCCCTAAATATCTGTGGACTAAATAAATGAATGTAAACATGTCCTCATGAATGTAAACACGTCCTCATGTTCCGGAACACAGACACAAGCTGTGCATACCCTCTGCTGTGCTGTGAGTAAGAATGCATGTGTTTGTGTATGAATACTTGTGCACATGTGTACCTAATGTGTACAGAGACCCAAGAGCATGTGTGTGCAGGTGACGCTGTGAATGTCTGGGAAGATGATACCTGGGCAGACCCGCTCAGGCTCTTCCCTGCCCGGTCAGCTGTGAGGAGGCCCTGCCTTCCTGCCTGGTCAGGTTCTTAACCCAGCCTCACGTGTGTGGCTTCCCAGGCCTCACCTCCTCACCTTCTGGATCATGACGCTGTAGATGCCTGTGTGCTGGAAGCCACGTGTATAGTAGAGCAGGTTCAGCCAGCCCAACACCAGTGAGGCCACGAGCAGGGGCAGGTACCATTCGATGGCCAGGAGACACAGCACCTGGGACAGGACTGTAAGCAGGGCCTGGAACAGGCTAGGGGGGAGGGGGTGGAACTGGGTTCAGCTCTAGGCACTACTGCCCCTGCTGGCCAGTTCTGCCGCTGCCTCTCTCATCCTTTTAAGCAACTTTACATGAGCAGAAAGGGCTGAAGGCTGGGGTACAACGGTCTGCCTAAAATTAGATCCATCCTCTTGGGCAAGTTAAGCTCTCTGGGTCTCAGTTCCCTCCCCTGTGAAATGGGCAGAATGGTTATAATAATATTTAACTCATGTTGTATTTGTAAGGATTGAATAAGATAATACTTAGAAAGAGGTCAGGGTTTGGTGGTGAACTTCAACAACTACATAGCATGGTTGTAATCCTCAAGAATGGGAGCACAAACAGCCCCAAGCTAGATGGCAGCCAGGAGCCCTGGTCTGGCTCCACTCTGCTCCCAAAATCCTCATCCCTGTGCCCTGATCTCCAAAGAAACCTGGTGCTCTGCCACACCCATTTCTCGCAGCTCTTGGAGACAGTGGTTGAGGAAGGGTGAGGCCCACATACAAGAGTATCTCGAAGTAGCTGTCCATAAAGGAGATCCAGATGAACAGACGGCGCCTCCAGAAGTACCAGAGCTGCAGGAGACAGAAGGAGGACAGGAGTGTGAACTCTCTGCTTGTGGACTGCAGGGCTGCTGGACTGACTGTGGGGGGCACCCAACAGCCTTTGGGGCTCTAGTTTTGACTTCTGAGGGCACAGGAATCTTTCCAGTAAGATGAGAAAGCTCTGATCCTCTTCCCAGAAGGAGCAGCCACTCAGACATACAGTGTGTCTGAACCTCCTTGTTCCCTGCAGATCCAGATTGAGAACCCTACCTTAGGATTTATGGTGGGGAGGAGCCCTCTTTCCCCTCCCCTTCATGGCCTCCTGAACCTTGCACAGAAGCAGACTGCACTCATTCTTCCCCCCTGAGAGGGTCTTGTGACCCAGTGGCCATCCTGCCTCTTGCAAACAATAGCCTTTTCCAGGAGAAAGCCTTTGCTTAGGGAGGTGGCCTGGGCCCAAGAGGGAGTGCCACAGAGAGACTTGGGTGTGGGGCTTCCAGAAAGACAGAGCCAGCAGTGCCACAGATGGCTGTCCATCCCACAGACACCCAGAAAGCCAGCAGTGAACCCCCACTCCCACCCCCTGCACCCCTCGAGTGCAGGGAGACTGGCCCGAACACTGTTGGTCATAGGAGCCAGTTTTCTCATGAATGAAAGATGATGCTGAACCTGCCTGGAGCCCTGTAGGAGAATTCTGGTTTGTTTTCTTGATTATCTAGGTGCCACAAAGTTTGGGGCGGGGGGGGGGGGAAGGAACCTCACCTGGCAGGAAAGCAGGTACAGCCCCCCAAGCAGGATGAGGATATGGCCCAGCAGCAGCATGGAGTTTCCTGCAGTTGCTTTTAGGGGATGGAAGTCCTGCAGAGAGAGAGTATGTGGTCCTCTTGAAATAGTGTATCCCCTGGGAGCTGAGGCCAAGGCCTGAACCCACGGCAATGTGGAAGAGCAAACAGAAGTTGGGGCTCCAGGGAAGGGGCCGCAGGCCCAGGCCACTCCGTGCAGGGGGTTTAGAGACACACTGCTGAACACTGAGTCCCATCTCCACACACTGCATGAACCTGAATAGATTACCTTTCCTCAGCTCTAACCTGCAGATATTCCTAGTGCATAATCTCAGAGGGCAGTTGGGAGAATGAAGTAAATAATCAACACAAGTGCCTATCAAGTCATGTTGGACTTGGCACGACTCCACACGTGTCCAAGCAGACTTCTCAGCAGCAGAGCTTTCTAAGTGGACTGCCAGGACATTACACTGAGATGCCTCTGAGGGGCACTTAGTTGGCAGCTGAGCACACTGTTTATAATTTAAAAGTTTCAGAAAACAAACACCAGAAACACCTCAAAGTCATTGCTATTGAGTCAGAACTGGCTCATAACTGACCCTCTAGGGAGTGTATGAGGCTGGAAATCACACGGGAGAAGACTGACCATCTTTCTCCTGCAGAGTTGCTGGTGAATTTCAACCACCAGAGGCACCACCTTTAAGCTAGCAGCATAACTCCCTTCTGATGATGCCACAAAGTTACATTAGCACATAAATCAAGTCATTTATCACATGCAGTAAACATTCAATAAATACTACACAGCCATCAGAATTGCTCCTACTACAATGCAGCTAGCTTCTGTATTGTTCCTTGCTGTGAGCCAACCATTCCCCGCATTCTAAGCCTCAGTGTTAGCATCTGCAGGATGGGTATGGTAAGCTCTGCTTCCTCTCCATCCAGGGTTGTTTCCTGATGCTTCCCGCAGGATATGCCCCTCTCCAGGCCTTACCTTTTCTAGGGCAGGTTGGGAGTAGGCAACAGCAGTGAAGATGATCATGTAGACTAGGTAACACAGGAAGTTGAAATAAAATTTGGGGGTGAGCTGCTCCCATTTTGCTTGCAGCAGTTTGTTGAGTGGCTCTAAAACTACCATTCGGTGTCGGTGCTGGAGTAAGGAGAAGAAAATGCAGGCTGTGCTCAGAGGGAGGTTACTGGATGGTAGTGGGATGGTGAGGAGAGTGGAGAGTGTCTCCTACACCCCTCAGGACCTCTGAATGAGTACTCTCTGATTCCCTGCACCCAAGCGCTAAGGCTCACTGGCGAAGCAGGTTCTGATCAGTGGGGAGACTTGATCTTTGCCACTGTGACCCTGGAGCAAGGAGTGATTATGAGCCCATTGGCTGGAGGCAGGGCAATACCTGTTGGGATGTGCAGCAACACGCAGAAAGCACAGGGTCCTACAACCCAGCAGGCAGCCCTGATGAATGCACCTGCCCATAGATTCTCCCTATCTGGTGGAGCCCCACAGCCACTGCCCCTGCAGACTCACCGGGCTTCTGCAGTGAAAGGCAATGATCTCCAGCACCGAGTTCTCCTCCCAGCTGTCCACTGAAGCTAGGTCGTACAGCGAAACCCGGACAGGCCCGTAGCACCACTCAGTGAACTTTCTGGACAGGGGCTGGCACAGCCCTGAGAACTCCCTCTGCAGGATGTGTCTGAAAATCTGCAAGGCAAGCTGTCTGAGCCTGGAGGGACAGGTCTGGGAAACATTCACTGCACTCCAGAGCTGCCCACCAACAGAAAAGCTGCCACTGACACGTGTGTCCTGTGTATAAACACACGCTTGTCCACAGCACAGACAGTCTACCTTTCTTGCCTCCTTCCACCACTGCCCACAGCCATGCCTCTCCTGGACTCCCTGATGGCAGAGACACACCTGGCCTGGGGTCCTCAAGACTCCTTGGAGTCATGTGTGCACAGCTGTGCCCAGAATCCAGCACTTCAGCAGGTGTAGAAAGGGTTCCTAACGTGAATGAGTTAAGCAATTTGATTTTGAAAATGAAGATATGCTGTAAATAAGAGGTGCTGACCTAGTAGTAGCAGCTTGTACAGGCCATGCAGCCATGCCTACGGACAAATAGTTCTCACACCCCAGGAGACACTTCAGAAATTGAGGAGCAGGCATAATGTGTGAAAACTTTCATTTATAAAAAACCCAACAACTTTCATTTATGTTTATTCCTTCATTTTCTAAAAGTAGTTGGCTTCTAGCATCTTGACTCCACCATCTTGATGGTGGTCACATAAGGAAGTTTTGGGGTTGTGTTTGATGTGTGTTACTGGTTTTTTCCCCCCAAAAGCGGGTGTCAGTTGATCTTTTGACCAAGGGTGGAGGCCTGCTAAAGGGTGTGTCTTCAAATTCCTGTAGTGAGAGATTGGGATTTAATTCTAATTCTAATTTACATTTTAATTCCAATTTTCATTTAATTATCATTTTAGATGAATATTCTTTAAGTGATACAGCAACCATTTGTCTGTTTGCTATACTGAATAACTTGGAGTTATCGTGATGCTGAATGCTGTGCCATAGTTGTGTCAAATACCGTAATGGTTACCCATCATGAATAATGTTTGGAGGAGCTTTCAGATTGATTCAGGTTGGGAAGTAGGAGTGGCATCCACTTCCTAAACTAGCTGCCTCTGGAAACTGTATAAATGAACAGGAATGATGTTAGTTATAGAATAGAATTCAGGTGTTTTGTGCAAGGGTTGCTATGAGTCGTATTCGACTTATCAACACTTAACCACTTCTAAGTCAGACTAGTGTTGTTATATCTTGAGGAGCACTCTTCCACTTTGTACATCACTCTTTTTGAATGTGCTGTATGAAGTAATCTGGGTTTGCTGTGATGCTGAACTTTGTGCCATTGGGGTATCAAATACCATAATGGTTTCCCAATGTGGACAGTGTTTGGTGGAGCTCCCAGTTGTAAAACAGGTTTGGAAGCAGGAGTGATATCCCCTTCCTAAACCACATGCCTCTGGAAACTCTATAAACTTGGAGATACGACGATAGTTATGGAAAGGCATAAGATCTTTTGTTTAGAGTAGCTATGAGTTGTGCTCGACTCAACAGCAATCAACAAGAACAACAATTACTTTTATAGTAATTTTTTTACACTAATAAAAAACCATTTGCCATAAAGTCAGTTCCACATGCAAGTTCATGTGTGTCAGAGCACAGTTATGCTCCACGGGATGTTCAAAGGCCAGATTTCTGGAAGCATATCAATAGGCCCTTCTTTCAAGGCAATTCCGGGTAGTCTTGTATCTTTGTCATGCTGCTTACACGACCCAGGGACTTCTTATTAAAGTTAGTAGTGCTGTTAGGTACTGTTGAGTTGAGTACATATCAACAGATCTGAACCCTGTTCTATCCTGTGCCATCCTCACACTTCCTGATACACTAGAGTCCACTGCGGCAATCACTGTGTCAGTCTACCTGGCTGAGAGTCTTCCTCTCCTTTGCCAATTATCTGCCTTTTCAAGCATGCTGTCCCTCTCCAAAGAATAGCCTCTCCTAGCAACATGCTTGAAGTATGAGATGAAGCTTTATCAACTTGGCCTTCAAGGAGCACTCTGGCTTCACTTTCTCCAAGACATATCAATAAAACACAAATAGATATTCTTCTAGTATCCTTATTAATAAGAGTGTTCATTAAAAAAATGCAATAACAATTGACCTAGACCAGCCCCCTTTCTGAAAAAGTTTCTGGGAAAGTGAGGAGGGAACGGGGGTGGTACTCACCTCAATTTTGCCCTCTTTGGCAGCCAGCTTCAGCGGCGTGAGGCCCTGCCGGTTGGGGATGTCCTCCAACTGCACAGAGGGGCAGAGGCGGGCACCTGCCTGCAGTAGTGAGTCATACATTTGGATTACCAGCTTGCTGTTCTCAGTCGAGTTGTCAGCGATCATCACCAGAGCGTGCAGCACTGTGTTGCCCAGGGAGTCAGCAGCCTGCAGTTTGGCTGGCTGGTGCCTATTCTCCAGCAGGTAAGTCACCACGTCCCACTGTTTGGTGCAGGCAGCCAGAGAGAGGGGCAGCTCACCTGCGGGAAAGGGAGCAGCTTGGGTGTGGAGCCTCCCTTTCTCACCTACCTACTCTCATGCTCCTCAGAGCAGAGACCAAGCCTCCAGGAACCAGCTAATAGCACCTACAGGAGAGGAAGGAGTGCCTCAGGGCTGGACCTGCATACAGAGGGGTGGATGGTCCTCAGCTCTGCTTGGGCAGCTTCTCCATTCTCCTAAGAGCACTCACAAATGTATCCCTGTTCTTCTTTGATCCCAGGTAGAGTGGGCCAACCAAGTAGTGTCTGGCCAACCAAGAGATCTCCTCTCCTTTCTGCTAGATCAAGCCTGCTGCTGCCTGTCATGGGCACAACTTTACTCCTTATGTTCCTTTTTAAGGGACAGTCAGGCCCTTTTGGTCACTCTCACCATGCACCCCACTAGACAGTCCTGCCTTTATCAGAGGAAGATAAAACAGCTCCTCACCTTGGATGAGATTAATTGACTCAGAAACTGGGATAACAGGGGTGGGTGTGTCAGAGATGATCAAATTGGCTCAGGTTAGAGCAGGGCTCAGAGCTGTTGTATGTGCATAGGGTCACTTCATATTGGAGTCAACTCGACGGCACGTAACAACAATATGAATTACTTTTAAAAAAAAATACAAATTACTTTTGCAGATGGATAAAAAACATAGCTATCAGTGTCAAGAAGACCTGGGATTAAGTGTCAGCTCTGCAACACTCTAGCAAGGTCAATCCTGCTCCATCCCAAGAAGGCCTGCGTACCAAAGTAGAAGTGAGTCCCTTGATTCCTTTTTTGGAAGAAATGGCCGCAGGCCCGGGCGTGGACATCTGCCCCATTCTCCACCAGGAGCTTCACGCACAGCAGGCTCCTCTTCTCGATGGCTATGTGCAGGGCACTGTGGCCTCGGTAATACTCATCCGTGCACTGGGCATTAACCAAGGCCCGGGGATTGCCGGAGTCCCGGTCAATCTGCAGCAGTGGCAATATGCAGGCATTGGTGCCCTCTTGGAGGTTCAGCACAGCTTTCATCAGGCAAGTCTTCCCTGTGGACCCCTCTGTGGAAGAACAAGAGGATAGAGTGCCAGGGATGCAGAGACAGATCTCTGGTGCCTGGGAGCATCAACAAAATCATGCTGAAGGGTATTGAACTCCAGCCAGTGATACTAAAAGGAACTACAAATTCTTCCCTACAAATGCAGTTTCTAAGACATAATTCCTACCCGAAGAGATGTGTCCAGGAAGCCATCTGCAGCAATGTTTTCAAGGTCTGCCCACACCCCAGCCCCTTAGCACTACTTGTGAATGGCTCTGGACAAGTCATTTGACCTTTCTTTACCTCAAATGGGAATAATCCTTCCAAGGTTATTGTAGGAATCAAATGGAATAATCTACACAAAGTGTTTTGCACTGAGTGTTTGGCACATAGGAAGTTGAGGCTGAGAGCTGTAAACCCAAATAAATGGCCATCAATACAGAATTTGTTTACTAAATTATGACTGCCATTGTCAAAGAGACTGAGTTAAACGTAAATAACAAAACAAAAGAAAAATCCTGTTCCCAGAACATTGCCTCTGCTTCACAGCCACCCGACATGTCAGGGCAGTAATAACCTCCACACACTCCATTTAAGACCAAGTCTAACCTCTTAAGGGCCTCAAGGCTGCCTCAGACCTCCAATGTTTTACTTCACAGCAGAATGTGCAAAGGTATCACCCAGGGTCAAGTCAGAAGTAAACTTACTGAAAATGCTCCAAGATGTAATTAATGTGGGGGTGGAGGTGAAGGAGGGAGCACTGATGATAAGATCCCATGAATGTAAATATGTCAAATGCACTTAAAGACATCCTTCAAATAATCGTCAGGAGCTCAAGAGGACAGGCTGGTCTGGCCCGTGGAACTGGACATTGCCTCATTGTTTGAGTCTTGTGCAGTGCACAAATACTATTTTTCTAACCAGCCCAAACACTAACTCACTGCTGTCGAGTTGATTCTAATGCATAGTGACCCTGCTTTCCAAAGCTGGAAATTGTAAAAGGAGGAGGCCTTTCCAACTTTCTCCCAAGGAGCAGCTGATGAATTTGAACTACTGCCCTTTGATATAGCAGTGCAACACATCCACCAGAGGTCCTATGCATCAAAGAGATTTCAATTTGAGGCAAAGCATGTTGTAAGGTTGGTGAGGCATATGGCACGTGTAGTGTATCTTAAGAATGCCTCCACTAATTAAAAGGATGTGCTAAGCATGTCTGACAAGATCTAATTCAAGTCCTGAGAAACCATAGGAAAGAGCCTAAAGAGGTGAAAGATCAATTTTGAGTTTCTGAAAGCATTCAGAATGAAATGAAATGAAGTGAAATGGAAATGGAATGGACAGCTGAGACCTGTCAGGAAACACAGCTCTAGTAAAATCTGAGTTGCTTTAGCCTTGCTTTGAAGTAAAGTAGCACCTGAAGGAGGCTTAAATTATCCCCATAAAATTGTGTATGAGAAACTTTATCTAAGCTACTGTTCTCCATCTCCTCCTCCAGTACACCTGTAACTAATACCTCTGAAGCCCTTCTTTTTTGGAACTCACACATTTGTTCTCTCTAGATTTGCTCCCTTTCCTATAGGTATCCTGAACACTGAGTCTTGTTCCAGAACTTGAACCCTGAGCCTGGTTCCAGAGACAAAAGGCACTGCCAGCTAAGGAAGTGAAGGTGGATGGAGCCTTAAAGTTCTCCCTGCCACTCCTACTGAACTTAATTAACCATGCAAATAAAAACAAATACCAAATACTCCAAAACCAAAAAACTAAAGCAATGAATGAAAAAAAAAAAGGCTCTCAGTTGTGTATGGCCTTAAGATGGGGATATTCTGTCAGCATGCACACCTGCACACACACACACACACACAGCACACTTCATTGTATGCATACCATAAACGAGAAATAGGCTTTCCCCTTTCTCTTGAGCCACTGAGATCTTGAAGCTACTTTGTTTTTGTAGCATTATCTTGAACACAAACTACATAAAATGTACATAAACTGGAAAAAAAATGCTCCCTCCCTCTTCATTTTCTTAGTTTGTTTCAAAATTTTAAAAGTGTTTAAAATGAGTGAAATCTAGTAAATTAAATATAGTACATCAGTAGAATTATTTGTAACAGAAACAAGAAAATAAAAACAGGACTTGAGCCTTTATAACCACAATAGAAAAGTTCAACAGGTGACAAAAGTAACAGTATTTTAATTGTCACCCAGACAAGTTATAGCAGCCATTTGATGCTGTTTGTGTGCATTAGAATGCCACTGAAGTATTACTAATTTGTTAAGTCATGTGTGTGTGTGGGAGGGAAAGGTGAACAGAAAAACCTAGCAGTTTGTAACACTCCCTTTTTACTTCTTGATGTTTGTTTTCTAATTTATGTCTGCATTCCCTGTTTGTTAGACACCTTGCAATCCAGAGGGCAGAAAATGTCATGAAAATGTCTTCTAACTGAACAAGGAGGCATGCATCTTCAAATCAAGACCACCAGTAAAGTGTTCAAGTAGAATCCTCTTTCCCTTAATCTCAACACCCAGGTTCAGCATGAAGCAGCCAGAGAGTCTAAGTCCCTATTCCCAAATGGAAAACCCACAAATAAAAAGACAATCTCATTGTAAAGAAGCCCTACTCCCCCAAGAATCAACCCATAAGACTGATAAAACAGGATGGGGGAGATTATGGGTGGTATTAATAAATTTAGAATTATCCAAACATATCCATTAGTATAGCTGTAAAACTGACATCTGTTTTCTCCAGCCTGCAAAACTAGAATCCCTTCTGCCTCCCCCTCCCCCTTTTCTTTCTTTAGTCATATAAAGTACTTTAAACCACCTATTTACCAGGAGGGAAAATGCCTGGATTGGCATTTACCTTTTCAAAACTGTTGTTCCTCAGTCATATGTTAACTATTTCTTAAGCTATCGGTTTACTAGTAAACTGTTATTTTAAAATGTCAAAATTCTGTAACTTTACTAACATAAGTGTATGGTTAATAGATTAGTATCTAACCCAAGTATAAAAATAATGACCAGAGTAGGAGGCAGTTTTTGAGAGGATTCTTCCTCTATCCTCCCAAATCTGTAATAAAAGTGCTTTAGATATTGGGGTGGGGAGAGGATGCGCTGAGGTGTCCACATGTATTCATTCAGCCACTGAAGTGGGTCAGGAGCACAGTGCAGTGACTGCAGTGGGAGGCAGGCACTGCTGCTGTCTTGGCTTCACCCACAGGGCCTCCAGCAGCCATGCTCAGAGTGGCGAGGGAAGGGCAGGCAAGAGAAAGAGAACACAGCGCAGTGAGAATGCCTGTTCTTGACCCAGGACCTCACTGGGAAGCTCAGGCCTGATACTCTCCTGTCCCCACAGGATGGGCCTACCTGTGTATTCCGAGTCGGTGAGGTACTTGCTGGTCCGGGACAGGTACTCTGCCAAGCCGACCAGCTCCTCCGGGATGCCCCGAGAGACAGCACTGAAAAGCTGGTCCCGAGTGAAACAGTCAGGGTCCTTCTGGCTGTCAGGAAAGGTGGTGTGAGCCACATCTGGAGAAGGGCCTCTGGCCTCCCACACACCCTCTGCCCCTGGCTCTTTGCCCCTCAGGGCCTGGAGCCTCCAGATGCTTGGAACTCTGGAGAATGTAGGGAACCAAAGAATGTAAAGGACTGCATCCTTAGAATATGGCTGTGTGCCTTACACACAGAAGGTGTCTTCAGAAAGAAGATTGCAAGCAGAGCTCACAAGGCACTCTGAGAAGGAAGATTGCAAGCACTTCTCATACATCTTTAGACACTGACTTTCATTATTATTCCTGCTCTTGGTAAGGTTGTTGCAAGATAAGAGAAAGCACAGTTTATGAATACAAAGAAGTCTTGGTTGAATGTATCTATGTACCCAGTCCATCTGAGCCCTCTGGTAATCTTAATGTTTCTATTTGTACCCGGCCTGCCTGGGCTCTATGATGTAACCCTTAAAGTTTCTATTTCCCTATGAACTATCTCTTTGTTTCCAAAAGGTATAAATAAAGATAAGCACAGCTGCCTGGGGCCGGTCCTACTTCGTCCTGTCTGGCCGGTCCTGTCCTGTCCTGTGCTGTTTTGCCCAAGTAAGTTGTTTGTCTCTTGTGTCTTTATTTACTCATTTCTTCCAGGAATAATTTCCCCCAGAGAAGGAGGATAAGTGGTCCCCAACAGGAGAAGCGCTGTACAAGTTAAGAATCTGAAGTGTTCCAGCACTCCAGTCTCATAGACACTTTGAGCATCAAGTACTCATCCCTTGCCTGGTGCTTTGAGGCTTTTAACTCACAGCAAACTCAATTTCCCATTTCACAAATAAGAGGACTATTTCAGCCTCAGCCACTCTTAGTGACACTTGAGCTTGGGGTGCCAAGCAGGGCTGGCCTCAGAGAGAGGGACTGAAAAAAGCCCATTCCCTTTTAATCAGCATTCAATAGCACACAACAACAGCTGACTAATTAGGGAACAATACTAATTTTTAATGCTCACTTCAGCCTTAAGGGTAAGGAATCATTATTTACACAAAAAAAGAAGGAGGTAAAATAACTGGCTCAAAGTCATACTGGTAGTTAGTTGGTAACAAGTGGGTTCTGACAAAGACAGTATAATTCCAGATCCTAGCCACTAACTCCAGAGAGACTCCAGAGAGATAGATGGGTGGCCAGAGATGAGGTCTACATGAGTCTTAGTAACAGATATGACTAGCACTGACTTATCAGTCTCACCAGAGTTTTAATAAGAAGCCTCACTTCTGGAAAATATCTTCCAGAGGCCCTAAATAGGTCCTTGAAGCACATAAAAAATCTAGCAGTGTTTGGGAAAGGGAGAAGAGGTGGAAAACGGGAGGCAAGCTCATCCCTGGGGCTCTGGGCACATGACCAGCAAGAAAGGGGACATGGAGGAGGCCCTGGGGACACTGGCCACTTTGAGGACTCCCAGGTTCCAGCCTGGTTGTAGTTCTCTGATAAGGGTGTTTTTGGTAGATAAATGACAGTTCTGGCTGCAGGACTCTGACTCTTGAACACTGGGAAGCTATAGCCACCACACAGACCACGTGGTTACAGCATGGCCCAAAAGGGCTGACTTGAGCCCTCTGGGGAATCTGGCCACTTGTACAAAGCACATGCAGTCACCTGATGGCATCATGAGCTGGGGGTGAAGAAGTCTGATGAGGACACACAAAGAGGTGCTGCAGGGCAGTCTCCACAGCTCCTAGAAGCTGGTGCCTACTATCCCCCTGCTTTCCAGTCCTGCGGCTGAAACAAACTGTCATCTTACAGCCCAAACAGCACGGACTCTGGCCTGCGACATCAAGGCTGGCATGAAGGATGAGGGTGCAGTTTCTCCAACAGCTTTGCCTGGACTATAAGGACTCGCTGCGATATGCCTTAACCTAGAGGGAGCTTGTCCAGGACTGGAAGCAGGACCCCAATCCCTCATTGCTGTAGAATGGAAACTGGTTCTTAACCCACCCTTCTGTTGGGTTGTAAACCACTCAGAAGGAGATTGTCCATCTTTTTGCCTTGGAGTTACTGGTCGTCTTAGGTTAGAAGTGCATCTTCCTATAAGCTGCACTGGCACACCTCCAGGCCATAGTGCGAAGTCATACAAAGAGGTGGAAACTGCTTCATCTAGCTCCAACCTCTGCAGGGATGCAAACATCAGGAGTCTTCTCTCCCCCCAGGCTGGACTGGGCTGGTAGGTCTAGCTGGGGGCCTGGCACATCTCATACCCACAGTATAAGGGGGAGCTTAAACCATCAGAGACTATCAGCAAAGTCAGAAAGCTGATGACTCCCGAGAGAAACCACAGTCCATGGAGACCACACTCAGTAGTGGAGTAGAAACAAATAATTTTTCCACATGCCCCAGATTCTCTCCCCACACTACAGTGGGGACCCTACTACCATCCCCCATAAGCAGAGGAGGTCCAGAAAGAGTATGAAGGACAGTTGGAAGAATGTGCCCTTACTAAATAAAACAAAATCTCAGAGTACAAGAGGTCAAGAATGGAGAAGTTTCCAGAAATAGCAACCCCAGAGAGTAGAGCAGAGCTGAGTCAGCCTGTGGGCTCATGAGGCACCAGGCCGACCAACAGCTCACTGAATATGAGAAGGAAGGACAGGATTCAGGAGAAGTCCGCCCTGGTCTCCTCACCTGGCACCTGGTCCCTTTCGGTATCTGAGGTTCACTTTGATCTGAGGAGAGAAGTCTCTGTCTTCATCCTGGAATGCTGACTCCATGGGGGGTGGCCCATGTCCTTGGCCCTGATTCCCTTTGGTGTCTTCCTGGCTTCCATCTGCTGTTTCCAGCCTGAAAGGCAGAGTGCTGGGAGGCGTAGTCATCCTAAGGGGCAGAAGCTGCTCCGTCCAGCTTCTACCTCTGTAGAAAGAGTAACATTAGGTAATGTCCTCTCCTCCTAGGCTACCATGGGATGGGAGATAGGGTGGGGCCTCCACAGGCTGTAACAAGCCCACCCACAGTGCAGGAATGAGCTAAGACCAATAGAAGGGGAAGTGGCAGGAGGAGACAGGCCCAAGGGGAGAGAAGAGGAGTGAGCCCTGTGACATGAGGGTGGCTCCGTGTCCTGGAAAAGGTGAACAGGGACTCAAAAAGGCAACCTTTGCAGAGTTTGTCCCACAAAAAGGGCCAAAAGTCATTAATTACACTCAAGTCAAGTCCCAAATTTCCCTCTGCAATTTCCTAACGTGAGGAGCCACAGCTCCTGATCCAGGGGTTATAAACTTTAATATTAACAGTAGGACCCTCTTTCCAAACACCTTGCTCAGAAGCCAGTACTTAGAACAGATTAAACAGTTACTGAGATAAAGACTGGGGCTTTTTATCACCAAACTAGAGAGCTCAGGGGAAAGTGCTAGGGAATTGTTGGTCTAGTTAAAACTCTTTGTTGTGCTCCTAAGACAACTAAGGCTCAGAAAAGGGAAGTGGCATTTCCAAGGTCCCCCAGCAGCGGGCTGAGGCAAATCTAAAATTTTCCTTACACTATTATGATGTTCCTCTTTAGTTCTCAAAATCCTTCACGGCTGGGTCTGTACTTTGGCTCATTTCTGAAGGTGTCCAATGTCACCTCTCCAACCCTCAGGGTCTCAGGTCTTGAGTATAGAGGAAGATCTTTGCTGTCTGGCTGCCAGGCAACCCCACTCTTGGCCCTGGGTGAGGCTCAGCAAACCGCACACTGAGCTTCAATGAAAAACTGAAACCACAGTTTCCATCACATGGCAAGCAGGGGGGTCCAGCTGAGGGCATAATCTCTGTGCCCCTCAGTGGGCATAAAAAGAGAAAGGAAGAGTCAGATGTGTGTGGAGAGAGGGCAGGAGGATGGGAAGCAGAGAGGGAAAGGGGGGCGAGGCCTGTTCCCAGCCTGTTGCCCCATCGAAGGCCCGGAACCTGCAGGGGGCATTTTCCCACAAAAGCAGGAGAGGCCAGAACCTGGACCACAGCCTGGACTTGTAACCCACCGTCTCTCTGCCTGCAGCGAATGTCTTTCTAGCCAGAGACCATTTTTGGTCAGAGACCATTTAGCCTGATTATGTTCTCACCCACCCACCATTCTTCCCCAGCTCCCTAGTCCACCATTTCCAAGCCTCAACCCCACCTCTAGGACCCCCACGCCTCTTTGGCGGTGAAGGAAGGTACCTAGGAGGCGAAGCTGGGAGAGTGGAGGGCGCATGCAGACCCCGGCTGTGCCCTCAGAAGCCAGGGTGCGCGTGCCCCCACGCCTTACTGCCAGTCTCGGCGCCCCCTCATTCTTCACTGTGGGGCCAGACCCCCGCGGCCTCATGAGTCCCTTGCACTTACCGCTCGGCAGCGCCCTGGGCGTGGCGGACTGGTCCAAGCGCCCTGACAGCGAGGAAGTGGAGTGAGCGCGCCCCGGGCGCAGGACCTGCAGGCGCCGCCCTCCCGCGGCTGTGGTCTCAGTCTTCCTGCTGTCACTCCACCTCACCAGCGCACTCGGGAACGGGCCTTTAGCTGTCCCTGCCACACCAGGCTGGCTTGCAGACTGACCATCACCACCAAGGCTCCACCCTATTCTCAGGGGGACACGCCCTCCTAGCCCCGCCCCCGCCCCAACCCCCACTCTCAAGGAGCCAGAGGCCTGGGGCGGGATGGGCTGGAGGGCCCAGGACTGAGGTGTCAGGATGGGAGTCAGTGGGAGGTGGTGGCCTGCCTCACATCTCTCTACCTTCCCCTGAGCACTGACGGCCTAGTGGTAAGGAGCTGTGCTCTCTGTCACAGGCTGGTGGCTTGAATTCATCACCTGCTCCGCGGGAGAAAGATGGCCAGTCTCCGGCTGTATGATTTATTACTTCTAAAATTCAGTCGATTTTGAGTCGATGATACATAACAACAACCTTCCCCTGGGGACTAGCTGCCCCACCGCCCCCAATATTCCTCCAACAGCCACGCATCTCAGAACTGGATCTCACCAAGAAACAGAATTGATGTAGGATGCCCTTGGAAGAGGAGAGACCTTGATCAACAGATGCCCCTTATGTAACACCCTTTATGTACCTACCAGCATTGTAGGAGGCTCTCCCATCTCCATGACCATCCTCCAAACTCCTTCCTGGGAACATTGAAAGCCCTGGGTCAAAGGGCATCCAGAACCAGCCAGCAGGTGGAGAGAGGGATCCCGACTTGTATATCCCCCACCCTACCCTGCCCTGAACTAGTGACACAGTGGTTAAACAATTGACCCCTAACTGACAGGTTGGCAATCCAAACTCATCAGGTGCTCTGAGGAGAAAGCTGTGACCATTTGGTTCTGTCAGTGTTAAAGCCTTGGGAATCCTACTGATACGGGGAGCCACTGATCTGATGGCAATGGTCTTGCTTTGCCCTGGCCTTTAACTAACTTCAAGGTGTGGGAACATTGCCCAACATAAGTGATCCTAATATTTTTATTTTTCTTTCTTATTCGTTGTTCACCAATGGTCCCTCCTTTCCCTACTTATTTTTCTTTATCTTTTCTCATCTGGTCTCCCTGCTCTATTTGCATGCTCATAATTTTGTCTCCTTTTAGCAGGTGGTGTAATCTATTTAAAAACAAAATCAGAGAACTTCACTGCCTGATTTAAAATTGCTTTCCATGGCTCTTGAGAGCTCTGATGACTTAGTGGTAAGGAAGTCCACTGCCATGCAAAGGTATGTGGTTCAAGTCCATCAGCTACTCCTCAGGAGAAAAATGGGCAACTTCCTCTCTGTGCAACTTACCTCTGAAAACCTGCTGGCGTTCCCATTGGATGTTGCTCAATAGGACAAAATGCAAATTGTGCATCACAACCATGTCCTTCTTCTTCTTCCTGCTTTCACTTCACAATATCCCCTCTCTTGTATTCACACTGTAGATCTGCACTGTTCACTAGCCACAGAGGTATGTAAACTTAAGTCAATCACACCTAAGCTAAATACTTACTTATTCTGTCATGTCGTCACATTTTACATGCTCAGCAGTCTTGTGTGCACAGTGGCTATTGCTGGGCAGCAGGGATACAGACATTTCTACAATTGCAGAAAGTTCTGTTCACAGTCTACACTTGGCATCCTGAATACATTTCAGTCTCGTTCAAATGACATCTTCTCTGCTGTCGTTGCCAAGCCTTTGTGCATTGTTTCCTCTGCTAGGAATGCTCCACTCACAACACACATATTTCCTCCACCTCTCAACTTAAACATCACTTCTAGGTGGCTTTTCCTAGATTTAGGTCATGGCATTTCCTAGGACACTGTACTCTTATTACAAGCCCTCATCCACGAGTGTTGTCCACTGGTATCCTGTCTGCCTCACCTTTAACAATAATATATACCTATTGAACTACTCATATGCAAGTTCACATTGAAGCTAAAGAAAATGAAAACAAATCCACAAACCCCAAATACGACCTTAAGTGTATCCCTCTTGAATTTAAAACTTATCTCAAGAACAGCTTTGAGGCATTGAACACTAATGAAGTCCAGATGAGCTGTGGGATGACATCAAGAATATTATACAAGAAGAAAGCAAAAGGTCAATACAAAGACAGAAGAGGAAGAAAAGACCAAGTGGATGTCAGAGGAGACTCTGAATATTGCATTAAATGCTGAGAAGCCAAAGCAAAAGGAAGAAATGAGGAAGTTAAAGAGTTGAACAGAATATTTCAAAGGACTTCTCAGGAAGGCAAAGCAAAGTATTATAATGAAATATACAAACAGCTGGAGTCAGAAAATCAAGAGAGAAGAATTCACTCACCATTTATCAAGCTGAGGAACTGAAGAACAAATTCAAGCTGTGAGTTGCAATACTTAAAGATACTATGAGCAATATATTGACTGATCCAGGAAGCACCAAAAGAAGATGGAAGGTATACACAGACTCACTGTACCAAAAGGAATTGGCTGACACAGAACCTTTTCAGGAAGTTGCATATGATCAAGAACAAGCAGTGATAAAGGAGGAAATTCAAGCTTCTTTGAAGGAATTGGTAAAGAATAAGGCCCAAGGAATTAATGGAATACCAATTAATATATTTCAACAAACAGATGCAGCTCTGGATGTGCTCACCAGGTGTGTCAAGAAATCTGGAGAACAACTACCTGGACTTATCCATATTTATTCTCATTCCCCCCAAAAGATGTTCCTACAGATATGGAAATTATCAAACAATGTCACATGCATCACATGCAAACAAAATCTTGCTGAAGATTATACAAAACTGACTAGAATAGTTGACAGAGAATTTCCAGAAATATAAGCTGAATTTAGAAGAGGCACTAGGGATATCATTGCTGATGTCAGATGATCCTAGCTGTAAATAAAGAGTACCAGAAGGGTATGTGTTTGTATTCTGTTGACTATGCAAAGGCATTTGTGTGGGGCTAAAGTTGAGAATAATGGAAATTCTAGAACACCTGACTGTGTTCATGCAAAACCTAGACCTAGACCAAGAAGCTGTTTTCCAAACAGAGAAAGGAAACACTGCATGGTTCAAAATCAAGAAAGGAATGAGTTAGGGACAGAATAGGCAGGGAAGACCCTCAATGAGGTGGATTGATTCAGTGACTGGGGTAATCGGGATGGGTGTGTCAGAGGCAGTGTGATTGGCACAGGATAGAGCAGGGTTTAGGGCTGCTGTGCATAGGGTCACTATGAGTCGCAAGCGACTCAACGGCACCTAACAACAACAACAACATAACATATGCTGAAAAGATCATTCAAGAAACTGGACTTTACAAGAAAAATGTAGCATCAAGAACTGTGGAGGACTTCAAGCATTTGCTGTAGTATGTCAAAGACTACAGCCTTCAATATGGATTATATCTCAACTTTAAGAAAACAAAAATTTTC